ACGACTTGCCTACACATCTTGGACCACCAATGCACAACCTCGTGAACATCCCACTGCTGGTCTGTCTTAACATGGCCTGTCCTGATTTGCGGGTCGGGAGGTGGGTCCGTGAGGAGCCTCCTCAGGGGATGGAGTATGACTTACATTGTTTGATAATATGACTTCTTTCAGAACCGAAGTCCTTGGACCTTTCCCGACAGCGGATAACAATGTCGATGCCAACTTAACTTCAGGTCAGTCATATGGATTCGGTCACAGCTCGAAGCATGGAATCGATCATCAATTGTTGTGTCCATTTCAGAGGGTGGGGAGTATGAGAAGCCCGAAGGTAAATGCATCATTGTTAATGGGCTAGTGGTTGGCTGTACATGCCACACTTCCAACATGCTGGTCTACGGTGTAATCTTGAACGACCCCTCTCACTCAGATATCCGTCGCATTGTTGTACAAACTCCCAATCTATCTTATCTCTTTCAGAACATTAACGCGATCTATGCAGCGGTCTGTGGTGACAATTGTGGGGGAAGCAACGACTGTCCGAAGCCTCCTACCGGATGGGCACAATGCCAACCTTTCAGCGTATGCACTATCGGATGCAGCAATAATGAGGTAGACTCAGTTCGCTCCGATACTGGCCTACATGTGGCGTCTTGTCAGGACTGTCCTGGGTTTTGTCTAGATAGCGGGAAGCAAGGGAAGTATTGCTCTTTCCGCACTTGATCAACACACAATCATGGGTGTTCACTCGTGAGCGGTATTCTTGACCCAGGGCTGATGGCCCTACTCTTCTTGTATTCTTGACCCAGGGCCGATGGCCCTACTCTTGTTGTATGCTCTGTTCAGGCAGTAGTTGAGCATTATGTGTCTGTAGCTAATCTCTTTAGTGTAAGTAACTGGGAATGGTTATCCTTGCACTCTTGAAGTTATTTGTGCCCTCTGGCCATTATGTGTCTGTAGCTAATCTCTTTAGTGTAAGTAACTGGGAATGGTTATCCTTGCACTCTTGAAGTTATTTGTGCCCTCTAGCCATTATCTATCCCTTACAGAGTTGCACGCATATGAAGAGGCTTTTCTGGGCCTTGGACAAGCTTTAGTTGGGAGTCAACTTAGGCACTCAACACTATTCGGGCCGTCTATTTTGTCTATCTTAGCCTCAATTCCTGATAGATTTGATATCAAAGTCTTTCCTCACTCCACTACACAAGTGTGTCTTTACTGTAGACCTCAATGGTAATCAGTTCAGTCTGAAACGGTTTATTCCCGTCAACGACGAGGGAGAGTTCAATATTAACAACGTGTTGGCGTGCGATGTCGCCCGCTTCTCATGAATAGAAACTGCAAGAGA